GTAGCTCCGAAACTCATTCAAATCCTAAAACCTCTGTTGTCTGTAGGAAATGTCGTTTGTAAACTGCTGGGTGAGTATCTTTAACAATGAGAATATATTTCATGCTCTACGTATCAGTCTTAAATAGATTAGCGAGAATAATCTCAGTAGTAATAATATCTAACTCAGTATTATTATCACTGTCAATAAACCATCAAGCTGAACTCAAGCTCAGGTGTTCATGACTTCTCATCAGTTATCTATGGAGAGATAGAACCGTTAATTCTAAAACAGCTACTCAAAATATTTAACCTATACTTAGAAGCAAGAACATACCCAGAAAAATGAAAGTAACATACTTACTCCCTAAATATAAACCAGAGCCTTGAAACTTAGTCCAGAATTATAAGCCAACAAATATCACTCCAGCCATTTAACGAATAATGAAAGCAATGATAAAAGATCAAATATCCGACCACCTATTATCTGTACGCCAACTTGAATCATTAATTAACACAAGACCGAAAATGTCCCTTAGACAAAACTCCTCCGAACACTAAAATATCAAATTTACGAAGATTATTAGGTTTTATCTTAAGAAAGTTCTGTCAACATAAGTCCAGAATCCTACTATTAAACTTGTCCATTACTTAGCTATTTACTTACTTGCGCCTGTTACTCCTAATGGAGCATAGGCCACCTACCAGCATTCTCCAACCCATTTTGTCCAGCGTCAACGTTTCTAGATCCATCCAATTCTTGTTCATCTTTCTCATGTCTATCTCCATTTTCCAGCGTAGCGTGTTCTTTGGTCTTCCTCTTTTTCTTTGCCCTTGAGGATTCCATGTGAGGGCTTGTCTTGTGACACAGTTGGGTGCTTTCCTCATTGTGTGTCCTATCCACTTCCAGCGCTTCTTCCTGATTTCTTCCTCCGCTGGGATCTGGTTTGTTCTCTCCCACAGTACGTTGTTGCTAATAGTGTCCGGCCAACGGATACGAATTATTTTGCGTAGACAACTGTTAATAAACACTTGTTTCTTCTGGATACTGGCTTTTGTAGTTCTCTAGGTTTCTGCCCCATACAATAGAACTGTCTTGACATTTGTATTGAAAATCCTGACGTTGATGTTGGCTTGACGTGAGTTGTTTTGAGTTCCAGATGTACTTCAGTTGTAAATTTGTTGCTCTTGCTTTTCCGATTCGTGCCTCCACTTCTGCATCAGATCCACCGTGTTCATCTATGATTCTGCCCAAAGATGTTCAATGATATCTAACAGTAAAATACAATATATTTAGACGCTACATTCTAGGACTTAAACTCCCAAGAAAAATAGGGCTTAGGACAGAACTGATGGGTTAGGTATTTTAGTATATTTAACTTCCTCATAGTAAAAATTAATACCTGTATGTTTGGTCTAAGTAACCCTTTTCTCACGATCAGAAACTTGCTCATCAGGCAGCGGTATAACCACGGATCGATACTATAAATATACCTAGATTATGTAGTTTAAATAGGATTTAGGGAAACAAATCAACACAAACAGAAGACCTACATAATTGTCTCTCATCATATCACTTGCTTATATGTGGCTCAAATCTCCCACTGACATAACATTTGATAACTCATATTAACCAATGGTTAATATGAACTATTTATTGACGAAATTCTATCGAGTATAAATATTGCCATGAATATAATACATTTATGTGGAGAATAAATAGTTAGTCAAAACCATGTAAGGACTAGATAGACTGTGCATTTGAAAAAGTCCAGAATAATCTCAGTCACCGACGAAACTCAATCAAGAATTTAATTCTGAAGTAGGCACAATCTAATTATATTGTATTATTATGACAGAATAAGGCATAAAATAAGACATTTAATTGTATGATAACTGTAAAAACGATCCACAACAATAGATCTGATAAAGCTTTAGTATATCAACACGAACGTGACTGAGAAGTGATATGAAGTCGGGAAAATCTTTTTCAAATGACAAAATATGATTTCGAATATATTCATACCAGAACTAGTTTGTTACACTGAAGAACACTAAACGTTTGTATTTTGTTCTTCAATTAGTTCATGAAGGCTGAATCTATGAGTAATGCTTTTTATCATTCACTAGGTCCTACCTCCCATTTTGTTATTTTTCCGTTTACTTCGTAATTGAGTGCCAAATATTGGAGTTTTATAGTCATTAAGGATTCTACATCATTTAGGTAGAGCTCTACTCAACTATCGGTTACAAACATGTCCGGTGCCTCACAGTCAAAAAATAACAAACGAGAAATACAAACATATGTCAGAGGAAATCATTGGTGGCAAATACTTTTTAATATGAAATATTTACTGATTTAATGATCGCCAAATGTACTTAAGTACTGGATATGATACACATTTGAAGCATAGAAAACGTCTCACAAATATTTTTTGATTTTAAAACACTTAGAATAAAACTCCCAATTCAGAACATTATGGTTGAGAAATAAAATACAAATCCATGTTTTATGCAGAAGAAAACCTATGCAAATAATCTTTTCTGTGTCAATAATAAAAATATTTATTTAGATGTTTTGTTAAAATGCAAACAAAACACACTTAGACTAAATTCATTACTAATGTGTTACGATACTTAAATGTAAGTGTTCATTTTTCAGTAAAGCTTTATATATAATTTACTATTATTAGAATAGTTAGAGTTTTACGTTGTTTCTTACTGATTTACGTTGTCTTCGTAATGAAGGCAGTATTATTGAATAGAATAAATAGATTGAAATATGTGCATAAGGTGTGAGAATTTGAATTTTAAAAGATCAACATCTCATTCTACCCGGTGATTCAACCCACAATTTAAGATTAAATAATCATGTGTTTATTGTTTAAGTGATTATGAATGCCACACAGATCTCATAAACATCACGATTACATCATTTGTTGACATTTTCACAATATTAAAGTCAAGTGAGTTTTTGCGTTGTGTTCATTTGCTAAATACCTCACATACAGATGTAAGTTATAATTAATATGAATGGTTTTCATATTATTTTTAGTCAAAATACAAGCGTTGACTATGAATTTGACTTGAAGTAGATTTCATTAGAATTAGATAGAAATAAGAATGTCACGTTTTCTAATATTTGTCATCAAATGATCTCAGTAATAATTCTAGTAGAAACAAAGAAACGAAATGAATTGAAAAATTTGTTAGATGCCTATTATGATGGACTTCGTAACACAAACAGTGAATTTACATTTCAAATGCAAAACGCGTTTAGGATGTCGTTGACATCAAAATTTTTATCACAAATAAGGAAAGTGTTGTCTAAGTATCTCTTGCATAGATAGAAGCTGTCAATTATCGGTCCTATGAATTGGCCTAATGAGTTAACTGAGTCAATCAAGTCTATCATTTAGTTTCTTATAACTTGTGGCCTATGTGCCCTGTTAATGCATAATGTGATGTTACGTACAACTAGAGAATAAAACTCACAATTCAGAACATTTTGGTTGAGAAATAGAATACAAATTCACGTTTTATTCAGAATAATATGATCTTGATCTGTCCACCCACTTTGGTGCTGATGATACTTATCTATTCCATATTAAGACCTTGGCGCGACAGGCTGACCGACCTAACGTTGAGGCCGGTACACGTGAGTTCGAAGGGGGAAGAAGGAAGAAAAATATTATATCACCTGATTAGCTGACAAGCACACGAATGAGAGAAGACAAGACACCTGGAACACTACTCGATCTATTCCGATATCCTGATTTCTCCAAATTCAGAATAGTGCAAAAAGGTACGTGAATAAATAGGTGATTAACCCGACCACAACGTGCAATAATTAGGAAAAATACAAGCACGTCCAAAGCTGGGAATTATAGTAGAAAATAGGGTGTAAAATATTATGTTTAAATTACAATAGCTTCGGAATAGAAAAGGGTATGGTAATGAATCATACATGGAACGAAAGCTTAGTTTCCGTAGAATAGATTAGAGACAAAAATAAATCTTAATGTTTTACAAGCTTTGAATAAAATGGAATAACGTCCCGAAAAATAGCTTTCGTAATTTGTCAGGGTTTCTTGTTTCTCTGTACACGTCACAGAAGAAAACCTACACAAATATTCTTCTTTCTGTTTCCAAAATAAAAGATATTTATTTCGATGTTTTGTTAAAATGAAAACAAAACATTCCTTTAGATTGATCACATTTAGACTGAATTCATTAACAAGGTGTTACGATACTTAAATGTAAATGTTCATTTTGAAATTCATCATCTACAGATCTAAGTTGTAATTACTATTGATGGTTTTCATATTATTGTTCGTCAAAATACAAGCTTTGAATATGAAGTAGATTTCATTAGAATTAGATAGAAATAAGTATGTCATGTTTTCTAATATTTCTCATCAAATGATCTCAGTAATAATTCTAGTAGAAACAAAGAAACGAAATGAATTGAAAAATTTGTTAGATGCCTATTATGATGGACTTCGCAACACAAACAGTGAATTTACATTTCAAATGAAAAACGCAGTGCATTTGAACATATTGAAAAGATTTCAAATACCACCAAAATAAGATGTTTCTCATCTAAACCCGTTCTCTTTTCCAATGCTTTAATATTCCATACATTCAACATTCTTCAAATTTTCCCATTCATTAAATTCTCAATAAGTAATATGGTCTTCAGTAGATGGAATCAAAAAATAGTCATGTATTTTCTATAAAACATGAAAGTCTATGTTTATTGTTTTTCAAAAAATGCATTTTGGTAAGTGTCAATCAACTACTAGATGTCTGATGAACACACTTAACAGCAAAATACTGAATACATGTTTTTCGTTTTATTTAGTATTCGCTGTCAATCACTAATCTATTACATTTTCCTTGTGGTTTTAAACGGAATTTTTATTCACTTCGGTGAGATCAACAAGATCTTCAAAGCAACATAAACTTCTTGGAGACATTATGAACGTTCTAGTTGATGCACTCTTACGTTTGTCATGGATAATGATATTACTACCAAAATTCTTCCATTCAGAAGCTCATGCAAAAGTCACCATTGACGATGATACTGGTTACTTTGTTGATCCACAAGGATTTATTAAATTATTTCATGGAATCAACTGTGTGCATAAAGTCGCACCATTTTACTTTCCAAAACTACTTGACCCTCATTCATTCAGAGTACTTAGAGATTGGGGAATTAATGTTATACGCTTAGAATTCAACTGGATAGCAATAAAACCACAGGAAGATGAAACCAGTCAACACTACTTAGATATTATTGAAACGATTATCGACAATGCTGGATTATATGGAGTTTATATCATCATTGATTTGCATCAAGATGGATTATCGAAACGTCTAGGTGCAATTGATGCTGTGCCTAATTGGTTTATGGATAAAATGAAGCGACCACCATATTTATTCCAATACCCTTGGCCACTAAAGAAAGATCCAGGTAAATATGACTGGTTTCTAACGTACGCCACATATGAGAGTGCACATGTATTTGAAAGTATATATAAAAATGTTTCAGGAATATGGAATTATTTTGCAGAATATTGGATGATAACAACTAGTCGTTTCGGGAAGAAAGATAATGTTTTAGGTTATAATTTGATAAATGAACCGGCACCTGGAAATGTTTATAAAAATCCATTCGTTCTTTTGCCTAGTAAGTGACAAGTATGCAATATTTTAGTAGTATTGTTTTTGGACATTTTTTATTATATTGCTTTATTCATTATTTCATGCCTTTTGACTTGATTGAAGATTTTGTTTTCACTTCCAAAGAATTCATTCAAAGCTATTGATTCTGAAGTCGTTGGATGTTTATTCATTTATAAATCAGTCAGGTTTTGACTTGTCTGCTCTTTATCAGCCTTTCCACTAAAATTATCATCTTAAATCTCAATGAAAATAAATAACGTCAATACGCACATCAGTGTGCATATTTTCACTTTTAGAAGCGCACGTTTTTGTGATAAACTAATACAGAAATATGTTTCAAGAGTATTGTGGTAACTTCATGTCGTATCACCTTTGCAATAAGTTTACATTACAAGATCGGCATGTCATTCAAATAGTTTACAAATTTCTTTTACATCAAGGTCAATTTAATAAATATCATTAAATATTATTTTTACAAAGTGAAATTTTCCTGCAGGAATCGGTACTCACTTTTCTTAATGTATTTCAAGGAATGAAAGTAGCTCAAAGTATTCAATCAGTCAGATGGTTTTCAATCCACTTTCTTTGTTCACATATTGCTGAGATAGTTAGTCTTAGAATTAACTAAGTTCTCACTATTTGTTTTCTATGAATTCTTCCCCTAAGTCAAATGTTCAGGTTTTAGCTAAACTATGGAGTGAAATGTTATTCAGAAAAGTTAACGTTTAATTATAACAATTATTTACAACATATTTTTAACCTGGATTTTAGTAATTAGACAAAAATTCAGCAACAGTCATACCCATTAAAATTGATGGAATATGATTAAGGTTTTATTAAAAATAGTTACTCAAATCTAATTAGGATGGATTTGGGAGTAGGCATATATCGGTTTCACAGGCTAACCCTTAGAGTTAATAATTGACTTAATTTTGACACAATTCCAAATCACGTGCGATTATGTTTTTTCACATTTAATTTGGTTAAGCCCTTTTGTTAACTTATTTAACGGGCAGAGTCATTCGTACAATAACAACTTATCTATGTATGATTTAGACAACTGAGTTCAGCAGTTCAAGAAAGAAATTTGACTTTGCAACCATATCTGAATTCATTCTCTTTCATTACTTTCACATCTATCCAAGCTAACAGCTTCCAGTTAGTTTTTGTTTAAAGCAAGTCTCGCTTATTCATTTATCGAAGTAAATATCGTGGGTTATTAATCTAAACCTAACAGTTCGAAACCTGACTCAATAGAAGTTATGATTAAGTTATTTTTGGATTAGAATATTATCTTGATAGTATCTGTACCGAAAATCCAACATATAGAGCGGCTTCTCACTTACATTATTCTAGGCAGATATAAAAAGTCGATTCAAACAAATATTTATATTAGTTTCAAAAGAAATTTGCTGATTGATACAAATATATAAAACGACCACTCTCGCTTCATCTTGTATTGAGTTTCACGTCGCTTTGTTCTTGACATTGTTCTGATGTGAAAATATCTCTCATATTTTGCAACGTGCCATTGTGACAATATCTCACTAACAAACAAAATTATCAGTTTAGAGTTGTGGAAACTGTGGAGATTCTATTGAAAACCTTGAATCACTGGATGGCCATCTCGTCTTAAAACGTGATTTCTCAACAGTGCGCGTCCCGCTTGCAGGACCATGGATGCTCACTGCTGAGAAGTCAAATTTCAAGACTGAACGGCCTTCCAGTGCATCCAGGTAACCAATAGTGATCTGACATTGGTCGATTCATTACCTCAATAAAAATGGAATCGCAAAACATAATTACGCAATTCAAACCTGTGATTGAGAATAAGCAGCTATCACATAACTCATACGTTTCATACGAATTGACAGTATTTGAGTAGTTCTAATGGCAATCAGATTCTAGAAGCAATTGATCAATCGTAGTCATGGTTATCAATCAAATATTTACTAATGCAATTAAACGAACATCTTATCATTTTTAACCTGATTCATCCAGAAATAACATATGGCGACAGTAGCATTGAATATTAGAAAGTAGATGACAAGCATAAAATATATTTTATCATAATGACAACTAATATCAACAGGTGAACTAACAACGAACAAAACGATTTGTCCATTGTCTTTAGCTATTCAATATTTTGTTGGTGAAAATTTAGAACACATAAATAAATGGGCAAAAAAATGATAGTAATATTGATCATTATGACAATCGTATTAAGAATAAAAAGATGTTATGTAGAACTATGTTACGTGTTTATAATTTCAGTCAGCGTGATTTCGGAATTCGCCATCTTCATTATTACGATTATCACTCTGTCTGTTTTTCCACCGTGACTGTAATCAACAAAATTAATCGCCTTACTCATTAACCTATACTATGCATGATGCCATGTTGGGTGATTGATTTGTTCACATCGTTTAATCTCAAAAGAAGACTTACAAATGAAGAACATTTGGTGATTATTAGAAGAGAATAGATTTCCCTGATATTGATATTCTTAACTTGAATACAAACACGAAGGCTTAGATGTAAGATGACCCATTTAATAAGTCCCCAATAAAATTGAACGAGCGTCGTGAATTTCATTACCTACCACAATCTATCTTCCCGAAAACATTCTGTCCGCAACAGATATGTTTATTTTTGTCAACTTTCACTTATATTCATTCTCAAAATCTATTTCAATTCTTACAATTCCGATCTTTTTCATTTTATATTCGGACAGATAATGCAGGTCACAGTCTCTTATCATTTTATGATTATTTGGTAAATGTTATTCGCCAAGCAGACAAGAATACATTGATATTTTACGAGAGTGTAACTTATGGAATATATTTTCCATTTGTTAATGGACTACCTGGTACTGGTATCCAACGTGTTCCCGGTCTATTACAAGATGAGACGGCCAGAAAGAAGAGTGTATTATCTTATCATTACTACTGTTGGTTATTGGAATTGACACTATCTACAGAGAATATGCCATCATGGAAACGATATTTGTGTGATAAAGTGAGAGTTCAATTACCTGGTTTATTGTTTGTAACGCATATGCATTCCAATGTCTCGATGCTTTAATATCAACATTAACCAACTGATATTTTTTAGCATAAGCTAACTGGCTTTCATTTTATTCGTAACTTGATTATCGGACTTGACTGGAAAATTTTGAAATCTGTTGTCACTCCTAATAATATTTTCTAAATAAATAAATGATTGGATCTATATTCAGAACAGCTTCATTCAATTAAGTTAAACGTCGAAGGACCGCTTACCGAGAGTATTTTCATAATAAAATGCTATTTACACTTTACACCATATCCTGACGTTAACCAGGCAACTATTCACTACTCTGTAGGGAGTGCTCAGAACCCTACCAGAAATCAAACTCAAAGTATTAATATGTCTTAGCGAGTGAGTTTTCAGATCAGCACTTTAGCATTCGATGATTGTCATTTTAGCTTCAGTCAGCTGAATTCCTTGAGTTATTGCCAAGCCTAAGATTTAATTATTTGAACAAATTTCATATAGTGAGTACGCTATTATTTACTAGATGTGAGTTAAGCAAAATAGAGTCTTCGATATTCTGTTAAGGTTTTGCAAGCACCAACCATGTGAAAGTAGATTTTAGCTTCAGTAATTGATACCTCTCTTGAAAATATTATAAAAATGGAACATTAGATCTGCTGATATTTACTCCTTATTAGATATAATCCTTTCCAAATATTTCAACTGATTTTGATCATGATATTAAAATGATTGATTGACCACTCGAATCCTTTAGACCGTGAACATTTGTTTGGTCGTGATTCTGAGGTGCTTCACAATGTCAATCCGTGAGTTGTTTATTATTGCCATTGAGTTACTCGATGACTTATGAAAAGAGTTATCTGTCGGTTTTGGTTTGTTAGTCCGTGACAGAATTTTCGAAGCGAAATTATCTCTCATCTATGTGGACGTATGGATTTATGATGTCACACGTTTCATTTTTATAGTTGATCATTTTCAACACCCTCATTAAATATGTAAAAATTGACTAGGAAAATAAAATTGAGTGAACTCAGATTAGTACTTGTAGTAAATTTTTGTTCCCGAAACTACGTTGCACTCTAAGAAATTTCGTTTGATCGGAATGAGAAGTCGTTATCATCAGGGTTCAGCGATTTCAAAGATGAAACATTTATCATATATGACATCGCAAAACCAATAAGCTCCATCGTGAATTGACTCAACAGTGATAGTTAATGAGTTGTATTTGATCTCACAGGTCTACTTTTTTTCATTTCCTACCTTCAGGGATGAAAGTTTGCGCTCCAACATTTGTCGTAATTGTGGGTGAATATTTCTGAGGTGTTCCGTTATAGGACAAAACACTCATATAAATACTTCTGTTTTTAAGCAATATATTCACTGTTGCTGATTCTCTGTGAAAACCGATCCGCTCACAATATATAGATTGGATACCAAACATAGAAATAATAATAATAATAGTAATAATAATTAAAATAATAACAATAATGGAAACAACAAAACATTCATATACTTCAAAATTTATTTACTTAGAATTGATTGAAACACTTTCATTAACTAGCTCATATTTATCAATTACCAATCACCGAATCATTTATTTTCACCATGGAAATACTCTCAGTAAACAATATGATGATGATGATGATGATGAATAAGTTTGCAAAATTATTAGAACGATTGTGTACTTTGTAATTGATTAGAACAAGTTAAATAAGATGAGAAATTTCTACATTCCTTCTATACAGTAATAGCATTTATGTTCTATGAAAGTTATAGTAATGGGTGTGTCTGATGTTGGGCGTAGATGAATAAACAACAATGACGAATAATTCTATAAAGCACTGATAAGTATGAATTCTATCATCTAAGTATTCTTGAGATATAGTGAATTAGCCAAAACCACCTATAAACTAACAGTGGAAGTGTAAATAGAAGCATTGGATTAATATGTATTTTGTGTTATCTTTCAAAGTAAAATTAGCTATTTTGTAGCTGTGATTAAACTCAGTTGTTTATTGAAACCCATTCATAAACACCATAGGATTTTGCATACAATCGTACACATGTTCTGTGTTGACACAATGTCCAGTTTATGAAGTAAAGTGAAATTCTTATCCGATTATTACATCGATAGATGCAAGGGGAAGTGCAATTCTATTCTGTCATTCGCACCAACTTGTATGACATTGATTGTAAAAATAAAATTGACAAATAAGTTATTTTGTTTGCTTCGAGCACCCATTTGCGGACTGCACATACAGAATGTATGATGTTAGACAAAACAGTGAGTATTTCATTTAAAACACAAATTGTAGTTGCAACTGATATGGATAAATGTTTAATGTGTCCTTAATAAATGATGAACTGATTGGGGTGAACAAAACACCAGAAAACAAACTGAACTTAATTAAAGTACTGTAGAGTGATCTAGAAACGAAAATCTAAACACTACGATTTGACATGAAAACTGTAATTAATAGTAATAGGTGCTAATCAGTTTATAAACTAAATGTTTGATGATTGAATGAACTGACATGATGTGATTTCATGAATACACTAACAATCAATGTATTCAAACCATCCTTCATACTGTGTGGAATTTCATAACTAATTTCATTCTTCATATATTTGTGGTGATGGTTGAATTACTAAGTTTGAATGGACTGAAAAGCTTTATAGGTTTTAGCGAAATGGAACATTAGTGGAATGTTTTGTTCGTGAACATAAGGGGATTTATGTGGATTTCCATCAACATCGTGGTGCATAATAGTAACACGAAATGAGTGAGTGATGCTGACGAGATGTCACTTTCATGTATCAGTTCATTTCCATCTTATTGAATTCACAATTAGGAGTTATGTGAATTTTTATTTATGGATTATCAAGAAATGACTGGTTTTGTGATTTGTAGAATTGTTTAATTTCCCTACCACCCACGTTGTAATCAAACTACATTATTCAAGATTACTCAATTTTATACCTCCCGTTCTCACTCAGTCAAGTAAAAATTCGTGAACGTAAATACAATGATAACCATTGAAAATCGGAGAACATTGAACGTCTAATGATTTGCGATTTGTTACGGCTCAGTAATAAATGTAATCATTGATAAGTCAATGAACAAAATGAATAATGTGTTATTGCTTTGACGCAGTGTACGCAGTTTATTGTAGTTTAATTTTATTGCAATAATCGTTCACATACTTAATCAATGTTAACATTGATTTTGCTTGTGTTTAGCTTCTCTTGAATTATGCATTCAATAATGTTAGAAGTATAGTTAAATACACTGGTGGAGGACGCTTTTTAACAGAATTCGGTCGGTGTACTCCTGATGGCAATCCAGATTCAATAAATACGGTTGAATGTAACACTGTGATGAATGCAGCCGACAGGAACTTCGAATCCTGGACTTATTGGGACGAATATGAATTATTTCCCGACTTAAATATAAGTAACTTTTTCGTAGGTCATATTACTGATAAATACCTTTTTCTGGATTTTTGTCAATTTTTTATTGGAGTCATTTTGTTCTGCACGCCGAACGAATTTATAATTTTCATTTTGGACAGTACCATCAGAATAAATTTAGGAAATAAATGGTATTTCCCATACTCGTATTGTCGTAGACGAGAACTTAGGTGGGGAAATCCAATTTGTTGTTTAGTGCACAATCACACAGTGGCTTTGCAAAATATAGAAATCACACATATACAACATTTACACATCTTTGCGTTGTCCTTTACATAATCCATTATTCCTCTAATTCTGTTGCTATTTCATTTCCGCTCCGATTCCCCTTCTTTTCGCTTCATTTCAATCTTCTGCTTTCAGTATTATATTTCCAATTGTTCCTACATACTTCTTAAAACTGTCAGCATACTAAGCATCCACCAGATTCTTCCCCTCGCCCTCCAACGGTCGCTCCTGTAGATGTTTTGCATGCCGTGAGGCTTTCTTTTTTAAACCGAACGTCCCACTTCTTATCGGCATCGACAGCGTCTAGTACACCCAACACCACGCTGCCAGAACACTCCACTTTACGTCTACTTCCTAGGCCGGATCTCACAAACTAATCACTCATTTCTCGGCCTCCCAATGGCGTCCGCAGAACTGCATCCTTTCCGCCTCCCCTTTGGTAGTAATACCAAGTGTAGCGAACTCAAGTGAGGAAACCCTGATAAACTCATAGAGGAAGATTTCACCAAATTAAATGTTTTTTGTTTATGCTTTCGATTTCGAGAATTTCTCTTAGAGCTTAAACAGCCCACACAAAATAAAACTACTAATAAATTAAGTGATGTATAGTTGAGGAAAATGTTACCATGACAGTAAATAGTGAGTTCAAATATGTTGTATATTGCTTATAAAATTAAGCGTTCATGTTATCTTATTCACAGAGAGCTTAGTCGGCGATTCAAACAATTACTTTGTAAGGAACATAGTCAGAAATCCCTCTTCCAGTCCTCATTATCTAAATTCTGCTTGAATTTCATGTTATCCGAAATATTACAGTTAAGTGACCAAGAACAGAGAAGGAATTTATGCAGATCGATTTATCAAGTACGAGTAACTGAAAAATTGTGATACACCCACCTAGTGTACGGTATTTGCTCTCCTGTGAGTTTCTTCATATATCAGATCTCCAATCAATGTTGGACAAATAAAGTCTAGTTAATTCCCGACTGTCCATTGATTACCTCTTTAAGTATTACTATTACTACTCTCTAAACTGAACTGTTTAAAGTATTCTTCAGAACTAATGACCTCAGTCATGTTGGTCCTTGTTACAATCAACTGTCTCAACAATGCTTTCTTCGTTTATTTAATAGAATTCTAAATATACACTCCCGCTATTTTGTATGGAGCAGGAACTATTATAGTCCACTGACTAACCAATGCATACGTTTTCTTTTGTGGGTGATTCTCACTACCATTACATGACTTCAGAGTTTTGCAGTTCAATCAAAAAAGTCTAGGTGTAGAAAAACAAAGAATGAGAGGAGCTAACCACTATTCAAATGTCTTTTGCCTAAACACACATCTCTGTGATCGACAAATTTCCACTGTACACCATCACATGGTCAACAATCTTCTAAGATCATGTATAAGCGTAAGTTAAGATATATCATGAGTTGGTGAAATCGAAAGCCTTCGTAAACTACTAAGGAATTCGACTTAGCAGAACGCTCAGCCTTATAGAATTCACGACAATGAAACATGATTATGGAGTATTAATTATCGTGATGATGGTTTTTGAGTTGGACCTTTTCGTACACATTTCGTATGGCCTTTGATTTCTCTGAAGAAATAATACCACACTTATTTTCTTGTTCACTGATATTCACGAAGAGAGATCGTGTGAGCGTCCGATCGCTGATTTTCTCTTCTGAACTGCATTTCTTTAACTTTTCAACACATAATAATGCTTAACTTTACAATTATACATTATTTGCCACCCTCGTTTGTTTGACTTTGGATAACTTCGGAAAACTGCAGTATTAGGCAATATCAGACTTTCGTTAACCGTCTGCTGTGCTTAGTGAAAATATTTTCATCATCAGGTTACCATCAACCATTTCATGAAAACAAATCGAGAAAGTTTGTCATCAATGATAACACCCTAATGACCAAAGCTCAGTAAAATAACAATTGATTTAAAGAATTCAGTACGTTTCTGATAGTTTTTTTCAATGTCATTTGCGATAGAGTTCTAAAGTAAGCTTATGAACAAAAATATATGGTCGAAAATCATCAACAGCTGACTCCATTTCAGTAGTGATATTATTTTAGAAGAGTCATTTTACTTCTTACTGCAGTCACCTAACTACTTAATCATTAATCTTTGATCATTCATGTATGTCAGATACGATAAAACACTAATTAGCCATGGTTGGCTTAGAAATATTTGAATAACTATTTCATCCTAGAATATCTCTCCAAAGTTTCCCTACTTTCTTTGGCTATCAAGTTATCAGGTCATGATTTTCACTGTCTTCAAATTGAATAACTTGCATATGTATTTCACATCAATGCAGTAGCTTGTTTCATTTCGTTATTTCTTCTATCTCATGCAGTTGAGATCATTCAGTCGTACATATCCACAATCAACTGCCGGTCAACCTGTCAAACTGAGATTCGATGTCGATTCAGGTGTGTTTTATTATGCTTTTGTACCCACACAGAAGTATTGTACAAACGTGGACGCAGCATTGTTAGTTGCAGAGATTTTTGTTCCAATGTCGATTCATTATCCATATGGAGTGAGAACTCGTTTTGTACCAGAACAATTATATTATAAAATGTATGAAAATAATACTAATTTAATGTTTGTCTATGCACCATGTACGTTGATCAACACAAATATTGAACTTATGGAAATAACGATCATACCAAACCAAACACAATATAAGCATTCAGACAACAATTAGTCATTTACCAACTTATTCGAAATCTGTATCAACATTGTTAATTGTGAACTCCTTGATATTTTCATATCTTTCAACATATTTTGACTAAACTAAAGAAATTTTACTTCATATAATGTATCAAATTTACTTTCATTTTCACAAGTTACCTACTTGTACGTCAGAAAATGTAAAAACATGTATATATTACATGAAAAATAAAATTACATGAATTAAAAAAATGAATGCGCATAAAGATTACGTAGAAAATATTAACAAAATAGCGTATAGCAAGAAGAAATTAGCGAAATACATAAATGAATAATCGGTATTAATTGAATATTTTGACAAAAAAGAAATTCATTAGTGTTAGGGATAGGGTCAGCGTTGGGATTTTGTGTTTGGTTATAGTAAGCTCATTAAACTATTGTATTATTTTAAATAAAAATAATATATTTGTAATATCCCAATGAGTAGAAAATTAGATTTTCTGACGTTTCGTGACTTTGTGTAAGTCACTTCTTCAGAGAATCATTGGGGTCTCGCTTTGGTTTGCTTTGCATCCCAAATAATGTAATGTCTCACGGTTTTATGGCTTACCAAAAATTCATAAACCAGATATTCCTCTAAGACCGATAGTAGACTTCACAAACACCCCAACATATGCATTATCGAAATATTTAAGCAATAAATTAAAACCACTACAGCTCAACCTACATAATATAATTAAAGACACATATGACTTTAAATCAAAATTATCCGGATTAATCATCGAGAAGAATGGAATCATGGTAAGCTTTGATGTCGTTTCTTTATACACAAGTGTTCCCATTGATAAATGCTTAGAATTCATTAGTGGTTTACTTGAGAACGACAATACTCTTCCTGACAGATGCCCGTTGAGCATCAGTCTAATCATGAAATCCTTAAAACTTTGCTTAAATTCAACGCTATTTACTTTTAGCGGTATGTTATTCAAACAAACTAACGGTGTGGCAATGGGATCCCCAGTGTCCCCGATTGTAGCCAACCATTTTACGGCATACATAGAATCAAATATCTTCGCCCGCAGCATTATACCACGAATTTGGCTTAGATATGTAGACGATACATTTGTGGTTATAAAAAAGACTCATCCAAGATCTTTTTAGAAGAGCTAACAAGATCATCACATCAGAGGAAGACAAACGAAAAGAACAAATGAATGTAATCAGCATCTCCCAATTTAATAATTTTCCTATGAAGATTATTAGAAGCATATTAAAACAAAACAGCTTATTACATTGTAATAATAATTCGAATGAAATGCCATGGTTTGGTACTGCAGTTCTACCATACCGTCATGGCACAACAGAAGAAATCCAAAGAATCTTAAAACATCACAGAATTAAAGTATATTACAAAACAACGAACACACTACGTAATACTTTAGTTCGCCTGAAAGAAAAAATTCCTTTCATGTCCACACAGAACTGCGTCTACAAATGAGGTTGTATCGATTGTGATGCCCATTATATTGGAGAGTCATCCCGCGAAATCGTGACTAGAGCCAAAGAACATATTAGGTACACAAAGAAACCTCCTAACAATCCTGTAGAATTGAACCAACTTCAAATTAAATCGGCAATAGCAGTTCATGCCATTTTCAACAACCACCAAATCGATTTTAAAAATATCAAAATATTGCAAAAAGGCTTTTCCGACTACAAACAAAGGAGGGTAGCTGAGGCGTTCCATATAATGCTTAATCTTACTTCTCTCAATAGAAAAGAAGGCCTTACCATACATCCTACTTGGACCATCTATCCTAACCATTCAGTCTGATCGTATTTACAATTTCACACTATCATATTACAAATTTAAACTCTATCCTTTCTTACCATAAAGGTCACATAAGTTTTCATTCTTAAACAATGCACACATACACACACAAATTTACATGCATATCAGTTATAAATCACCTTGACAGAAATGACATGACATCAACTTGTTCAGACCTGTTTTTGATTGAGCAACTACTATTCTTGCATTGTTCCGTTGTACTATTTAAACTTGGATTAATTTTAATTTGGTAATTCATTTACTCTGAAGAAGTGACTTACACTAAGTCACAAAACGTCGGAAAATCTAATTTTCTACTCATTGGGATATTACAAATATATTATTTTTATTTAAAACAATCAACCCAATGCTCAATTTATTCGAAATCATCAAATCAAACCTTGGTAATGATACCTATATTGTATTATACGTCTGATCATTGTAATTTAGATACTCAATCCACTATGTAAATTTCTGTGTGAGTCTGGTTGTTACAACTACATCTCGGTCCTAAACCCAACTTTTCATGAGGCTTCATCGTAGCTGACGTCCTTGTTCCCATAATCGGTATTGGTTCTCTGCAATCGCATAAAATACTCGTAGACGTTATAGACTGGAAACTTGTCGTTGCCGATCATAGCAGTGAACTTAGAGGAATTACATCTAATGAGATGTACATACATTTATGAATCAAACGTCAAATACATCAATTTAGTTAATCAGTTTTTGGACGCATTACGACCGAGTTTCAAAAGTGGCAAAGCGACACACCGTCGTACATCACATAAAGACAGAGAGACCACCAGTGTTCGTGAGTCCAAGACACTTTGACCCCTCTTGTCTGGTTCTGCAAAAAACGAATTCAACAAAATGATAGACTTGGGTATCATACGCCCCTCCGATAGTTCGTGGGCATCACCGCTTCATATGGTACTCAAGAAAAACTCTTCTGATGCAGCGGATGCACTATCGAGATTAAATATCAATACCTTCCCAATATTCGATATAAACTATCAAGATATAGCAAAACATCAAAAGCTCGACGCTGTTAATATCGACAGAGTAAAAACAGCGTTTTTAGAATACACTGAAAAACAGATAAAGATAAAACCGTCTGAATCCGCAGCAGAACAAGCACCATACAAACTACCTGCAACAAAAGATACTTCACATCAAAGTTTAGCGGCAACAGAAACTACAACGAGATCAGGAAGGAGAGTACACTGGCAAGATAAGTATGTAGCAACCACCATATTTATCTAGACCAAACCCTGAGATGGTTCTTATAACACTGTTATATCTGATCGTCGCTGATTGTTGTGTCGGAAACGCTTATCACTTATACTCGGAACGAAGGACCTCTGCAATTCCAACGACGCGAAAGTAAGAACACAAAGACAGGTATAAGTGAAGATTTGTTAGCCCCAAAACACTATGACGACGACCCTAGTCTAAAATACGCTCATTTATATACTGATGTACACCCATTTTGATTAACAATAGGATCAAATCACATATATAAAAAATACTTAGAGTTATAACAAATCACATACTAAGCATAGTTCATGTCAACTGTGTACAAGAATATCGTATATTATACAGGATAATAATAATTATTATTATCATTATTATTATTTATATTCTGAAAATAATAATTACAGAATTCACGCCAATTTACAGGCATGATCAATTTGATATCAATAGTAACATTAGATGTACAGAACAAACATGTGATAGAAGAATGTTTTAAGTATACTAGTTCAGTAGTTGTTCAGGTAGTACATATATTACAGCGATCCAATGCATCAGCCGGGGATTTTTAATATTTCTTAAATGGACAGCCTATTGATTTATTAACGGAGTGATTAAGGCCAATTTATGTGCCAGATCGAATTAATGATAATTATCTACAACTAGAGAAATTAAAACGAAAACAGAGAGCACGTAACATTAAAGCGGTATTTACCAAAATATATCAATCAGGTCTACCTAAATGCGTGTGCCATGTGACAGTGATATACTGTTGATGTTATTCAAGTTAGTTAAACCTTCTGGGGACGGGGTTACCATAAAGTGACAGCAAGTAAGTGGTTTTACTTAGGGAATGCACTAATAAAGATACCTAAACATTTAAAGTTTCTATAATATCACTTGTGGAATGAGATACACTTAAAGGCGCTAGACCATTCAATGCATTTTCAGAGGAGCAGTATGCATCGATGCAGCGAACAAATAATGGGAGTGACTTTATCGTGTGGATAGATTGTGGTAGGTAATTCCAGAGTCTCGAAAATTTACAGGTAAAGTAATTCATATAAAGAGATGATTTAGAATGAGTTTGTTTCACTAGTGTCAAGGAATTACAGATGTCATAATGAGAGGTTTCTGCATATTGAATCGCGTGATCGGATGTAAACGATAGTTTATGAAGTAGTTTGAAGAAAAAGATAAGATTTAGTTTGAGTCTTCTCCCCCATAAAGAGTCTAGCCCAAGTTTATTACATCTAGAACTATAAGTTAAGATACAATCAGCTCCAAGAATACGAAGTGTAAATCGTCTCTGTACTGATTTTAGCCTTAATTTATCCTTTATGGGCGCACTGCTAAGAATAAACATGCAGTATTCTAGAAGAGGTCGAGCACAAACTTTGTACATTAGAATACGTGACTCAGTGTTGTAAAGATTTCGAGTTATGTAACCTGTTAGACATTGAGACTTAGAGGTCTGTTTTAATATATGTTCTGTAAACGACAAGTCTTGGGAATATCTAAGTCCTAAGTCTACTACTGTATGTAACCTAGATAACACTTCTCCATTTATGGTAATGTCTAGGTTGAGTGATGTATCGCCGAAGCATATCCATCCACATTTAGCCGTATTAAGCTCCAGTTGCCATTTTAAGCACCACTGTGCTTCCTTGTTAAGCTCCATGCTGATGCAATTTTGCATATTTTTCAGGTCATGTGGAGAAAATGAATATACTACTTTGAGATCATCTGCATATAGAAGGGGCTTGCCGACACAAAAACTTTCACAAATATCATTGATAAACACTAAAAAGAGCAAAGGACG